CTACTTTCCGCCGTCCAGCGCCACGCTACGGAGAGTTTAGGCGGGTAAATTGAGTTTACTATCGTCTGTACAGAATTATATATAAATTAGGTACTGTACATATAATTATATATTTATTATATATAAATTAGGTACTGTATATATAATTATATATTAACTTAATTTAGTGTAACTTTATTATAATTATATATATACTTTCCGCTGTCCAGCGCCATGCTACGGAGAGTTTAAGCAAGTAAGTTGAGTTTACTATCGTCTGTACAGTATGTAAAGTAGGTACTGTAAGTCTAATACAGCACTAATTTTATACATTTCTTGTGAAAGAAACATTTCTTATTCAATGGCCATAAAAATTATTTCTATTAATGATGTCTCCAAAGGTCAACGAATTTTTCGCAGAAAAATAATTTATCAGAAAACGCGCCCGCCGTTTGGTGCCCTGCTTCGTGACGAAAACAAGCGTAAGCAACGGCGTATTTGAATGGTGCACAATCAGTAAGTAATCCTACAATTTTTTCTTTATAGCATAGTTTATACGGATTATTCCCAAAAAATTATACGTGTTTTGGAAATGTTGAGTCGAATTAGTCTAGAATCAGTTAATTTTACAGAAGAAAACCTTTCAAACAGCCTTAGTCCGTAAACTTCACACGTGTCAGGCTGTGATTGGCTCATGTATTTAAGAATTCCTACAACGTAAAATTCTTATAAAGTGGAATGCATCTAAGCATTATAGGGGGGTCTACTGTAATTTTAAAAGTGAACTTATCAACTTAGAAAGAAAATGAATTTTATTCAACAATTTTCATTCACAATAACTATTTCTTATATGATAAATGATAAACTCTAATTAAAAACCAGCAGTTTTTCTCCAATGCTAATAATTCTATGTCTAGTAGAAATTTTATATTGGACCCTAGAATGAGCAATTATTTATTGTGACATCATTACAATGCCGGGCTGCAACTTTTAATCATATTTTTAATTAATTTAATTTAAAATATACACATTCCACCTCAAATTAGTAGTGGCTTGTCCCTGTACATCATACTTTTCCTTTAACAATAGAGTTGTTAATTATTGCTCAACTAATAAATAAAAAATATTTGTTATTTTTTAAAATTTCTGTATCTTGTAAATACACAAGAGCCACAGTCAACTCATGTTTTTTAAAAATGTAATAAATATGTAAAAACAGCTTACTTTAATGTAACAGCTTTAATTGTCAAAATATATACATTATGATTCTGAAATTTTTTTTATACAAAGAACTTTAGGTGCAGCTCCCAATATTTTCAGCTAGGCTAGGGCTCTTACAGCAAAATGTCTGGGCACCCCTATTATATACTAAACTGAAATAATCTAATTTTGCTTAATATTTTGTTGAAACTTTTACTGAAAATCATTCTGTCAGGTATGTAGGAGGATTAAACAATATTATTTAGTATACTATATATATATATATAACAAAATACAGTATCAGCAAAATTAGAAGATTTCACAACTCAAAAGTTTGGGATTTTCAGCTATTTTTTTCAGAAAGTTTAAAAATTTTATCTGGCAATATGCATATTATACAAAAATATAATGTTATTTTATTGTACAACTTTATTAAGGATTATTATTTTTAAAATGTAAAATGAGGTTCGAAAAAGTGATAATAAACTTGATGATTAAATGTGTGATAATATATGAGGTGAAGTGAAAAAGATTCAGGACTGTTCCAATACAAAATGTCTGACATACACATTAATTTATTGAGTTATCACCTTCAAAATAAGTTCCTTCTGCAGCTATACGAACATTCCAATGCTTCTCCCAGTTTTCAAAATATTCCTGGAACTCTTTTTTTGTGATGTTGTTAAGCATTCTGCTTGAATGTCATCAATGTTCTCAAATCACCATCCTTTCAGCACTTTTCAGTTGTGGAAATAGAAAAAAATTACATAGTGCCAAGTCTGGTGAATAAGGTGTGTGGGAAACCATGGCCATTTTATTTTCTGCAAGAAACTGTTGAATGAGCAGGGGCATTATCATGATGCAACAACCAGTTCTGAGCTTTCCAGAGGTCTTTTTCATCTGACATTTTTACGCAGACACCTCAAAACATCCATATAAAACTTTTGATTCATAGTTTTGCCTTGTGTAACAAATTCTCAAAGAATAATATCCTCCTTATAAAAAAAATTATGAGCATGCTCTTGAGATTGCACCTCACTTTGTGAACCTTCTTTGGTCTGGGTGAGGCACAATTTTTCTATGGAATTGATTATTGTTTGGTTTCAGGGTCAGTCATAAATCCACATTTCATTTTCTGTAATCACTTTCTTTTCTGTTACAGTCTTGCCAAGNATTTTGATAGCAAAAACAAGTTTATTTATTTCTTAATATTGGTATGCAAAGGTTTAGTATGTAAATACAGTAATTCAACAACAAAAAAAAAAGGAAAGGACAAATAAAAAACACTGGCAGGGGTGGGATTCGAACCCACGCCTCCGAGGAGACTGGTGCCTTAAACCAGCGCCTTAGACCGCTCGGCCACCCTACCACGTTGTACCATGCTGAATAAAGCTTTAATTATTTCAAGTTATGATATTTATTTATAGCTTTAACCTACTTACACTGTGGTTTTTATAATTTACTGTAACATTCACTTACAATCACTGACAATCAACTGGCACACGTAGGGAGATGAATTAAAAGACTGGGAAATTCCAAAAGTTGTTTTTAATAAATTTTAAAAGTATTGTATAAAAAGTATTAAAAAGTTTTGCCTTCAAATGATCGAATCATTTAGAAGTAAAAAAATAAACTCATTTACTTTTTAGTGCAGAATAAAGTGAAGTTAAATTAAAGTTAGTTAGGATGACCGCTGCTGAACCTCCATAAACCTGGAACTATTTGGTCACGTAACCATAACTAGCATTACGTGATCATATGACTGTACAACCGCGGTCACAGATTAGAGAGACAATCTGTGGCCGTGGTATAATTGATCTGTGGCAAACCACTTTCTCCCGATATTCACTTGATACGGTTGGTTATCCAATACTGTATAAGAATATATATACTGTATAAATGTATTAGGAAACTCGGGTGCACTAGTTAATAATAATTTAACAAATTCCAACACATTAAATTCAACTTATTTTTACATTTTCATACGTTACATCCTAGAGAGTATTGTATATATGGATGCAGGAAGGAAAAAGAAAAATAACTACTGCGAAGAGGAACAGCATACTTGGAAATATTTTATTTAGTATTCCTTAAAATGCAATAAAACCAGGATTAATAAGTGCCAGAGCCCATAGATAAGGTGCAAAAACTCAAAAAGGCAGTTACACTAGGTAAATGTTATAGTCCATATAGCCTATTATAGGTTTGATAAGGTCTAAAATGGGGAGGCTGGGTGGTGAGAAATAGCGCTTGTCATATCTGGGTGGACCACCCAGAAAAATTTCTGAGGTTTTTCAACACACTCGGTTCGATTTTGGGTTCCCCAGAGTGATAGGCTGACCATTAACCACTTAGCCATCAGACCATCAAAAATGTGTTTGATGGATAGGGTTTCCAAGCTTTTTTCAGAAAAAAAGATATTTTCTACCAAATAGAACATTTTATTACATTGTATAGAACATTGTTTACATTAACTTACATGTGATTTATTCTTTCTAATATTTCTCTCCTGGTTTAGCTGCTCTTAATAATTTTTCATCCTTTTGCAAATTGGTAAAATTGCTTAAAAGTTAAAGGGAAACTGTGTACAATCTGTAGTTCCACTTTGATTAACTCTGGATGGCTCCTGTTTCTAACATCTGTCCATTTATTCTTCATTACTGGAAAAAACTAGCCTTATCAACATCACTTTTGACAATTTATACACACTAATAAAATACTCCGACACTCAAAAAATTCCTCATACAGTTCATCTAAGTTACCAAATTCTTTCAATTTTAATATATATCAACAGCATTTTCAAAGTTAGAATATTCTAGTTGTAATTACAATACTCTGGAAGTTTTAAAATAAAATCCTTTGATATATATGGATGAGAGAGGGGAAAAGGAAGAAATTGTCTTACAGGCAAAAGAAAAATGCAAAACCTGACAACCTACACCTAAGCGTAGGTACCAGTACATCAAATACCATTTACAGAAGGTACCAATTTACTTGTAATAGACTAGTAAATGTGCATGAGTGGCTAGCCTGCATGCACAATTGACAGTGAGAAGGGGTCCAGTCTTAAATCCACCACACCTTAAAATGTAATTTTCGATAATTTTAATCTAAAAGTTATTGTCATTTTGACAATGTTGAATCATTTTCGATTACCCTTCTTAATTCAAGATCACTGACACGTTATGCTATGGGCAAAAGATGGCAACAGCATGGAACCCCAAACCAGTTTATTACAAGAAAATATTTCCTCCAAAAATTTCATTCAGAAAAAAATGTTGAAGTCAACATTGTACATGGGGCCCTTAATTGAAATTTGCCTGGGCCCCATGAAGCTCTAGCGTCACTGTTCAAGATAAGTACAGCTAAATTATTAAACAATTAGGCCAAAAATATTGTATACAATACCTCAATAAATAATTAAATTAGCCTAAACATTCTTTATGTTAAGAGCATTATGAATTTTTATAATTAAACAATGCATGTTTTAATACAGAAAGTGAAAAATTGCCATTGCCATATCCTGTTTTTGCTAAATATTTTGTTTGCAATGACTGAACATGAAATTAGATGCCACTAAAAACTTAATGATAATTGTCATTTATAATATATTAGTAATGTAATGCATCAGGAAAATAAGTAAATAATACAATTTTTGTTGCTATAGCATGTTTGTTGTAAATTTTTAATTTAAAATGATAAATTCTATAAACATATTTTAAAAATTTTGTATAATATCAATATTTAAAAATTAACATTTTAGTCTGTTAAATCTTAATCATGTAAATCAAATGCAGGGAACTCCTGATAATGCATTCCTTATATAAATTTGTATAACACAATGAAAAAACTGCAACTAGTACTCATAAAAAATTCAATTTTGTCATCCAGAAATATAAGTTTTCTTCTTCAACTTCTAGCCTAGGTTTAAACTTGCATAAATTTTCAGATAATGCATGTCTCAATAAAGTGATTTCCTATAACGAGAAACATGTTGCCTGCATTATATGAGTATCTGCCATACTATGTAAATTGAACATAAATTATATTTTCAATAATACTCATATTATTTAACAAAAATATTTATTTTGAGAAAACGATTTTCTATATAAATTTTACATTTACTCCATATATTTTAAAATTTTAATATCCTAACTGAAAATTTTCTCCAAGCTATCATCAAGTCTTCTCAATACAAAATCAAATTTCAGTGTAAAGTAAGTGAAGATTTTAATTCATTCGAAGTGCCCCGTCTAATCTTATAACTTCTCCATTAATAACTGGATTTTCAATAATAAACTGTGCAAGATGTGCATATTCTTCTGGATTACCAAGACGACGAGGAAATGGTATAGTTTCTGCTAAATATGTTCTTACTTTATCAGGAAGACCACGAAGTAAAGGAGTATCAAATAAACCTATTAAAAAAAATTAATAATATATATATAATAAAGAAATTATACTTTCATTATGAAATTTATTCAGAAATTATAATAAAAATACAAAATTCATTTAGACTTTCTATATTCAATTTTTTGAATAAAATATAAAATTATCATCATTATTATTACTACAAAAAACTGTGAAAAGAAAATATTTTAAAACATTTTTTAATTTTATAAATTAAGATTTACAGTCGACCCCCCTATAACGTGGGTTCCTATAATGAAAATTCCTATAACGTAGCGAAAAAATTGCGGCAGTATTCGTATAAAGGGACTCGTAAAACATCGTCGCTGACTTGTGTCGCGACAAGATTGATCGAATCTGGACCAATAGTGGATGAGCAGCCAAACTACTTTCCGCCATCCAGCGCCACGCTACAGAAAGTTTAGGCGGGTAAATTGAGTTTGCTATCGTCTGTACAGTATTATATATAAATTAGGTACTGTATATATAATTATATATTAACTTAATTTAGTGTAACTTTATTATAATTATATATATACTTTCCGCTGTCCAGCGCCATGCTACGGAGAGTTTAAGCAAGTAAGTTGAGTTTACTATCGTCTGTACAGTATGTAAAGTAGGTACTGTAAGTCTAATACAGCACTAATTTTATACATTTCTTGTGAAAGAAACATTTCTTATTCAATGGCCATAAAAATTATTTCTATTAATGATGTCTCCAAAGGTCAACGAATTTTTCGCAGAAAAATAATTTATCAGAAAACGCGCCCGCCGTTTGGTGCCCTGCTTCGTGACGAAAACAAGCGTAAGCAACGGCGTATTTGAATGGTGCACAATCAGTAAGTAATCCTACAATTTTTTCTTTATAGCATAGTTTATACGGATTATTCCCAAAAAATTATACGTGTTTTGGAAATGTTGAGTCGAATTAGTCTAGAATCAGTTAATTTTACAGAAGAAAACCTTTCAAACAGCCTTAGTCCGTAAACTTCACACGTGTCAGGCTGTGATTGGCTCATGTATTTAAGAATTCCTACAACGTAAAATTCTTATAAAGTGGAATGCATCTAAGCATTATAGGGGGGTCTACTGTAATTTTAAAAGTGAACTTATCAACTTAGAAAGAAAATGAATTTTATTCAACAATTTTCATTCACAATAACTATTTCTTATATGATAAATGATAAACTCTAATTAAAAACCAGCAGTTTTTCTCCAATGCTAATAATTCTATGTCTAGTAGAAATTTTATATTGGACCCTAGAATGAGCAATTATTTATTGTGACATCATTACAATGCCGGGCTGCAACTTTTAATCATATTTTTAATTAATTTAATTTAAAATATACACATTCCACCTCAAATTAGTAGTGGCTTGTCCCTGTACATCATACTTTTCCTTTAACAATAGAGTTGTTAATTATTGCTCAACTAATAAATAAAAAATATTTGTTATTTTTTAAAATTTCTGTATCTTGTAAATACACAAGAGCCACAGTCAACTCATGTTTTTTAAAAATGTAATAAATATGTAAAAACAGCTTACTTTAATGTAACAGCTTTAATTGTCAAAATATATACATTATGATTCTGAAATTTTTTTTATACAAAGAACTTTAGGTGCAGCTCCCAATATTTTCAGCTAGGCTAGGGCTCTTACAGCAAAATGTCTGGGCACCCCTATTATATACTAAACTGAAATAATCTAATTTTGCTTAATATTTTGTTGAAACTTTTACTGAAAATCATTCTGTCAGGTATGTAGGAGGATTAAACAATATTATTTAGTATACTATATATATATATATAACAAAATACAGTATCAGCAAAATTAGAAGATTTCACAACTCAAAAGTTTGGGATTTTCAGCTATTTTTTTCAGAAAGTTTAAAAATTTTATCTGGCAATATGCATATTATACAAAAATATAATGTTATTTTATTGTACAACTTTATTAAGGATTATTATTTTTAAAATGTAAAATGAGGTTCGAAAAAGTGATAATAAACTTGATGATTAAATGTGTGATAATATATGAGGTGAAGTGAAAAAGATTCAGGACTGTTCCAATACAAAATGTCTGACATACACATTAATTTATTGAGTTATCACCTTCAAAATAAGTTCCTTCTGCAGCTATACGAACATTCCAATGCTTCTCCCAGTTTTCAAAATATTCCTGGAACTCTTTTTTTGTGATGTTGTTAAGCATTCTGCTTGAATGTCATCAATGTTCTCAAATCACCATCCTTTCAGCACTTTTCAGTTGTGGAAATAGAAAAAAATTACATAGTGCCAAGTCTGGTGAATAAGGTGTGTGGGAAACCATGGCCATTTTATTTTCTGCAAGAAACTGTTGAATGAGCAGGGGCATTATCATGATGCAACAACCAGTTCTGAGCTTTCCAGAGGTCTTTTTCATCTGACATTTTTACGCAGACACCTCAAAACATCCATATAAAACTTTTGATTCATAGTTTGGCCTTGTGTAACAAATTCTCAAAGAATAATATCCTCCTTATAAAAAAAATTATGAGTATGCTCTTGAGATTGCACCTCACTTTGTGAACCTTCTTTGGTCTGGGTGAGGCACAATTTTTCTATGGAATTGATTATTGTTTGGTTTCAGGGTCAGTCATAAATCCACATTTCATTTTCTGTAATCACTTTCTTTTCTGTTACAGTCTTGCCAAGTTTCACACACATTTCATAGTTCACACACACACACATACACAGTTCCTTAAAATAATTCATTTTACAAAGCAATGAAAATCACAAATCAATGAGAACATGGATCTAAATCTAAATAGCAAGAAACAAGAACTATATACAATAATGGCACGAAATGGAAAGCTAAACAACGATGTCTATTACACATCCTAGTTTGCACAAGTTTAGCATGTGGCTGATCATGTTCCAGGGCTGGCACCATGTCACCAGTCCTGGAACTTTTTGACTGCACCTCATAGCAGTTCCTACTTCAAAAGATGCTCTTCTTGTTGGCTGTTTTGGTCAATTTATTCAAAGTGAAAAAATCCTAAATATGCATTTATTCATATTCATAATTTAAATATATGAAAACATCATGTATTAAGAAAAACACTAATTCTTCATAACAGATTAAATAATACTTTTTCATAATCTCAAGAGTATTTCTTGTTAATGTATTTGATTATTTTGGCATTTGTCTGCAATTTTTTGAAAAAAATTATTTAAAAACAGAGATTGCAGTGTTACAATGAAATTTATAGAAATATTAGCAGATGGGCCCAATGTTGCTTGGGCAAAAAATATCAGTAGCAAAGATTATTATTATTATTATTATTAGATTATTTTATACTTCTAACCTTTCTATTACATTACTTTATAGTATTTGATTTATATTTACAAAGGTTATCTTATGTAAGGATTTATCACATCAAGTATCCAACCTAACACATTTTAAAAATGTTAAATTGGGCACTTGGTGTGATAAATTCTTATGTAAGGTAACCTTTGTAGTTATCTAAGTCAAATAATATAATATAACATAAATTAAAACGAAAACCATATAAAGAGTTTGGTTATTTCAGCCTACCATTGTCATATTACCACAATAGGAAATTGCACAATTTCATTGGTCACATAGAGACCAATTGAAAATGTGATAACTTAAATTTTTTAACATATCACATTTTTTCCTAATGTTAACATTAAGAAACAGTACCATTCACAGCTGAATATCAAATGATAATCTGCCAACATATCAAATTTCATGGAAAATGTACAAAATATTTAAAGCCAGTTATCTTGTATTATGTAATTTTCCTATTTGAATGCCACCATACCACTGGTCTAATAGAAAGAAGGGACTGTTGCAGAAGGGAGTTGAAGTTAATTCAACTAAAAGTAGTCATTGACCTCCTCCCAGGAGAGAATGCTCAATGACTACTACTAATTAATACTGGTATACTATTATTATTTGAAAAACAATTCATGTTAGACAGGTTGTGATGACCACGCACATAATCGAAGTTGCTAACCTTAATATCCAAAAGACTTTGTATAACATGTTTAAAGAAATAAAAAAAAACAAAAATGTAAGAATAATTGCATTTGTGTGATAATAAACTGTTTAATTTTGGCAATAGATTGTATAAACTATATGGAAAGTATATTCTCTTAAATATCGCATTTATAGGAAAATTAATGGGCTTCAATTTGAAAAAGTTGTATACCTATAAATTCCAATTGTTGTCCTGTCTGTCCTTCATTAATCTTGAGAAATGGGTTACATACATGAAAGTTGAAACCAGATATGTAAAGCTTAGGGGCAAGAAGCCTAGATTAACTATATACAAACCTACAGTTTAGAAAGGAAATCATGTTACTTGAATTCAAAATTTTCCCCTGAATGGAGTTAGATAGGTGACCGACACAACTCTGTTGCTAACAGGAAAAGTATGATATATAGGATAAGACTACCACTAAAAGAATTGCTCATTAGAATTAGTTTGATTTATTTGATTATGGCAACACAACACAAGGGGGAGAGATCTGCTGAGAGAATGCATCCCAAGACTTCTTATGGGAAGCTGGACCCTATTTAAATGTAACTAATGTGAAGAAAACCCAGAGAACTCCACACGGGCAACCCATTGGCCATGCCCAAACCCACAACTAACTACCAGAGTTTGGTGGTTTTACGTACTCAGCTACTAGAGAATGCTTATTAAATTAATGAACAATTCAGACTGTAAACAAATTGGACAACAAACACTTTTACGAAAGATTTTTATGTTCAAACAACAAACACATGTTAGGATAACAAACACCTCACAGAACAAACACAAGACGAAGCGATGGTGCATTTAACATTTGTAAAACTATATTTTAACAGCATCCATCTATGAATGATTTATGGAACAAGACTTTCACAGTTGTATACATAACCTTTTTGGCACTAATTAATTTCTATTCTCTGAATTTTTGTAAGTGCTTTTCTGAACTTTTTATTTAAGAAAATTGATAATATTATGGGGCCTAAAAAGAATGGATTGTCAAGAACCGTGATCACTATAGAAACTAAGCAAGAGATAATAACCAAAGTAGAGTGTGGGAAGATGTCTGATGTTGCTAGGCGGTATGGCTTCAACAGGTCTACAGTAAGCATAATCTTAGCTAATAAAGATATAATCAAAAAGACTCAAGCAGATAAAGGAGTAATGAAAATCACTTCTAAGAAAAAAAGATGCCATCCATGAAAAAAATGGAGAGATTGCTTTTTAGTTTGTTATTACATGTAAATAAACCTAGTAAGAAAGTATATTATTTATTTATTTATTGGTGTCACCAGAACAAATTAATCAAATTACCATAAAAATCTATTGTAAATCAATAATCGGTTAATGAACAATTCAGATAGCAAACATGATCTTGGAACGGATTATGTTCATTAACTGATCACCAACTGTATATACTTTATTCATTTAGTTATTAACTGTTAATCACTTTAATTTCATATAAATAAACCAAATCATTTTCCCAAAAAAAATTTTTACATCATGCAGAATTGGAAAAAGTTTTTGAATATGCAAACAGTTGGAAGAATGTATTTTAACACTGTTCTAAATTTATCTGCTACTCATAGCCCAAACTTGCAATCCAGAAACCCAGCCATTTTTTATGAGATAAGAGAAAAAAGGGTATTCTGTGGACAAGGTGATACAAGAAAATGTGTTATTGTAAAAGCAAAGCCATGTTGACCAGATTAGAGTTGTTGTTGGTCTATTTTCTTTTAGTATGGAGGCACTTCAATTTAAATGAGCAAGTTAACATATGCAAATCACAGTTCAGACAGAATTTTCCCTTTGAATTTTGAATCAGCCATATTTCTAAACTAACAAAATTCCTTAGCGTGTAAATCTCTATATCCTCAACTGAAACAAATAGTACAATTACAAACTAACAGGATTTCAAACTATCTGAATTCAAATTAATGAGGATTTCCTGTATTAAGTTGTATTATTTTGCATGTGATTCCTTTTTTATTATTGTTGTTGTTCAAAAACTTTTTTCCAATATTGCTTCATGTAAACATTTATTTTTGCAAAAATGGTTTGGATTATTCATATGAAATTAAAGTGATTAACACTTATAACCCAATGAATAAAATGTTTTTTGTTTTGATCATTACATTTTTACTTTCTTATAAAATGAGCTCAAAGTAAATGATTTTATTTTCTTACATTATGTTTAAGTATTTTTTCCCAGTGGTTGTAGTTCAAATACTATTAAATGTATTATCATCTAAAAATTTTGAAATTTTGCAAACATTTTAAAAAACAAATCAAAAAGATGTGTTTTTTTTAAACATTGAGAGATTTGTTATTTATAAAAAAACAAGTTTGTTTACCTGGTGCAATTGCACAGCAACGGATTCCTTGAGTAGAAAGGTCTCTAGCAATTGGTAATGTCATTCCAACAATGGCACCTTTACTTGCTGAATATGCCACTTGTCCTTTTTGTCCCTCAAAAGCTGCAACACTAGCAGTATTTATAATAACTCCTCTTTGACCATCAGCATCAGGAGTATTTTTTCCTATGAGACCAACTGCTAGTCTTATAACATTAAATGTACCAACAGCATTTACCTAAATAAAATATAAGAAAGTTTAACTTAAATTATTCAGTTAAAAATATATTTCTAAAATCAGTGAAATAAAAATGATTTAGAAGGATTAAATACTATTAACACTATCAAAATATTAATGAAATACAGTAAAACCCTGCTTAATGCTGCCTTGATTAACAATGATTTGATATAACGTGGTCTGCTCAAAGCCTTATAAAAAGATCAAAATTTACACCAATTCAAATTATTGTGGCATTTCATTGATTCATATATGATATGATTATTTACAAACACAAACCAATCAGCAAAAGGTAGCAATTAGTCGTAGTGCTTTACTTCCCTTAAATCTATGTTTCTTTTGTGCAATTTTGGAAAAAATATAACATTATGAATGCCATAGGCAATATCGACTTCACTTGGCAAGAATTGACTGATAAATGCATGAACAGTGTGAAAGAAGTTATGGCTGAAGGTACCCAACAATTCTTAACAAGAAGAGCCTATTGCTGTATCGTTAGGTTGACCAAATTGTCGACCTAACTGATACAGCAAGACTAGGAGATGTAGACAAGCAGGATAGAGGGGTTACTGCATGTTTCTGGTGAGAGCTTTACGAATGACGACCTTCAAGAACTGGCAGAACAAGGAATTCAGGTAGAACTAGAAAATAGTGATTCTGCAAGTGAAGAACCCAAAAATTTTCTCTACAGATTTCCTTAGTAAAAGTTTGATAATGATAACTGAAATTGTTGATCAAATTGGAGCAAATGATCCATATTTTGAAGGAGTGCAAAAGCAAAATGAAGTGTTTTGCTTTTGCACTCCTGCTACCAACATTTGCTTAAGGAAAGAAAAAAGCAACAAATGAAATAACATGGCTTTTTATCACAAAAAACAACAATTTCAGAAAAGCCAGGACCTTCATCACAAAAAATGAAAATAGATTCACAATAAACTTTTGAGTGGCCAGTAAAATATTTATTTAAAAAATGAACTTTACATTTCTGTGTGCATATGTTTGTGTGTTATTTAACATATATTATTATGCAAATTAATATAAAAATAACTTAAAATTAAATTAAAATCTGTTTATTTTTGGTTGCATGTTCCCCTTTCCCTATTTACTCTGTGTTAAAATGACCTCATTTAACACTGTTTCATTTAGCGTTTTGTCATCTAGGAACACGTCCCCGCATTAAGCGGGCTCTTACTGTATATATAAAGGGCATTCAAATTGATCCAAATCTTTTAGATCCAGACATATAAAGAAGAAAATATGTAAAAATGTTAAATCAGCAAAAATTCACTGACAACTTCAAGCCAATATGGTGAAGAGACACTCAGCCACAATAACACAACTGAACAGTGTAAATATTTCAAGGAGAGACAGACATCAAAAATGATGATTTTGGTCAAAAACTGTACCAAATTGTTCCAATATTTACAGTCATACCTGTAAATATTGACCATGTAGAGTACCTAATCCCAGATAATCATTAGATAACCTGCCACAAACTTGCAGTGGAGATGGATCTGTCTGAGAACTCTTGACACCATCACTCATAATCATCTATAGTTCTGAATGGTTAGCACACAATGGATACGAAGTAAATCACCTTCTTCAACTGAAACAAGAGAAAGTGAATTTGCTATGAACTGAAGGAACATTTTGATTTTGAGGGCTAACTTTCTTGAACTGTATCATAACCTGTGATGAAATCTAGACACACTATATTCCAGAAACAAACCGAACATTCAAACAATAAAAGCATATGGACATGCCCTGGCAAAAACTTCTGGTCAGTGGCATTTTCAAGCAAAAATATGACTATTGTATCATTTATCAGAATTCTTTACCAATCATTTTGACATGACTAGTGCTTACCCTCATCGGGTTCTAAAAACAAACTGAACATATTGTGAAGGAAACAATCTAATCTGATCAGGAATCTTGTGTTTGCAGGACAGTACTGTACATGTTTTTTATGGATCATTCAACTACCTGCAACATCCAGAAACTGGATTTGGAGACACTCCCATATACCTGCTTCAATCCAAATCCCAGTAATCATCAACCTTTTGAATTCCTGGGTGGGTAGTATTTCTCCAGTAATGACACTGTCAAAAGGTTGTCTGATCCTGGTTCTGACATCATGACAAAACCTTATAATTAATCAATACAGATATAAACATCCACTAACCTGATTTTTGATTAAGGCTAAACAATCTGTTGGATTATAATGTGCTATAATGTAGAAAAATTACTTAATATTTAATTATTAAATAATAGCCATATTATTTCCCAATATAATCTGGCATATCATTTGGCCTTAAATAATCAATATCTATGACTATATTCAATGGAGTTAATATTGGAGTATATCTTCTATTCATCTGTAAAACTTGTTTCTTATAATTTGGAAATTCCTATTAATTTTAATTTTTGGTTTTTTAAGTTTCTATCCAGTTTATTTATTTTGCTGTAACTTAAGTTCTGCAAGAAGGACCCTACATGCTCGCAAATGGAGTTTATTTATTTAGACTGAGAATCATTAATATTACTGTGAGGGAACTCAACTTCAGTATTTGAGGAAGAAACCAAAGGAAACTCTGGTGAGGTCTGCAGTGATTCTGACGGGCAAAGAGATTTGTAAGAAATTTGGTATAGGAACAAAAGATGAACTATCTAATAAGTACAGTGGAACCTCATTTAATGAGCACCTCACATAATGAGTATTTCACACAATGAGCAAAACAAATTGTAAAATAATGACTCACTTAATGAGCAATGTTTTGCATAATGAGNTTGTATAATATCAATATTTAAAAATTAACATTTTAGTCTGTTAAATCTTAATCATGTAAATCAAATGCAGGGAACTCCTGATAATGCATTCCTTATATAAATTTGTATAACACAATGAAAAAACTGCAACTAGTACTCATAAAAAATTCAATTTTGTCATCCAGAAATATAAGTTTTCTTCTTCAACTTCTAGCCTAGGTTTAAACTTGCATAAATTTTCAGATAATGCATGTCTCAATAAAGTGATTTCCTATAACGAGAAACATGTTGCCTGCATTATATGAGTATCTGCCATACTATGTAAATTGAACATAAATTATATTTTCAATAATACTCATATTATTTAACAAAAATATTTATTTTGAGAAAACGATTTTCTATATAAATTTTACATTTACTCCATATATTTTAAAATTTTAATATCCTAACTGAAAATTTTCTCCAAGCTATCATCAAGTCTTCTCAATACAAAATCAAATTTCAGTGTAAACTAAGTGAAGATTTTAATTCATTCGAAGTGCCCCGTCTAATCTTATAACTTCTCCATTAATAACTGGATTTTCAATAATAAACTGTGCAAGATGTGCATATTCTTCTGGATTACCAAGACGACGAGGAAATGGTATAGTTTCTGCTAAATATGTTCTTACTTTATCAGGAAGACCACGAAGTAAAGGAGTATCAAATAAACCTATTAAAAAAAATTAATAATATATATATAATAAAGAAATTATACTTTCATTATGAAATTTATTCAGAAATNATTATATTTCCAAAGTTCGTTTTAATATAAAAATTATGACAAATAGCAACATCTAGTATCAAAAATGTTCTGATGCAGAAACGAATATGTTCAGGGTCAACTGGGCAGGTCAAATGAGGTCAACACAAAAATATTCAGGAACAACACGGGACAGGTTAACGAGTGTTTCACATTACGAGTAACATTCTGGAATGAATTATGCTCGTTAAGCAAGGTTCCACTGTATTTTCTCCAAGTTTCCTTAGGATAATAGCTGTTCAACTAAAATTAACCTCATCCATATTAAAGTCATGACTGTGCTCTAATATCTTATAACACAAGAAAAATTGGCATTGATATAGTGAAATATCTCCGAAATATAAATCAAATTCTAAAAGTTATCAGAATATTTATGGAATTCTAATAATAACTATTGTATTTAACAGAGCTGTAACTAGCCATTCCTGTGCCCTGTACAAGAATTTGCATTTAGGTCCCTTAATTTATTTGGTTTTGGGAAAATAATAAAACAAATACATTACAAAAGATTTTTAATAAGATTTATTTTAATTGAATTTTTCTGGCTTTCATTTCAGCAAATTCATTAATTACACTTTCATAATTAATATTTTTAATGATACTGTATTCTATTGAAATAATAGAAATATTGGATAATCGTTCTTGTCCGATAGTTGATCTTAAATAATTTTTTATTAAGTTTAACTTGCTAAAACTTCTCTCACACAAAGCAATAGAAACGGAGAGTTAGAAATATTCGAAGAGCGACATTGATATTTGGGTAAGACTCAATTAAACCAAAATCACAAAGAGCCTGTAGAATATTAAGTGGAGATACAGTTTCTATATTGTATAAGAGTCGTTACTTCAAAATTAAAACTTTCAATTCCACTTGTGAATTCGTACTTTTTTAAATCTTTGCTATATTTAATAGCGAGATCTGCAGCCGATTTTTTTAAATCAGCAACACTCGTGTATTGTAAAGACGAACCACAGAGAAAGCAAAAATTGTCACAGATAGTTTTCATTTTTTCATAATGCCAATCTATTTGACACAATAGTGTGTCAAGAACACTGTAAATTTGTATTTTAAATAATTTTTCGGATGTCAAGTTACTTCCTTTATTTGGTAATTAATCTTGCATAAGCCAAAGATTTTTGTACTGTTTATAATTACATAAAAAATAAATTAGTAAAATTTAAGATAAATAGTTTATATTTTACTTAAGTGTCATGTTTTGTGACTTTAAGCAGTAGACAGATAATATATTAATTGTAAAAGTTTTAATTACTTACAAATTCAAAAAATTTAATTATTTAGCTATAAACTCAACAATTACCAAATTATTTTTCTCCAGATATTTTCTTTACCTGAATTACTTTAGAGAAATCTTCTAAACTATGTGGAATGTCTCGTTTATAATCATATGTTTTAAGAGCCACTCCAATACCAGCACAGTTTATAGCAGCATCCAATTTACCAAATTTTTCTTCTGTGGTATTCAAGGCATTCTTCACATCTGTTTCTGATGTCACCTAATAAATTAAATTAATATAATCAATAAAAATTATAAGTGAAATTTAATCACCAACTGTTAATTAAAGAATACATTTGTTGGTGTAAAAACACAATTTGTTCCTAAATCTTTTGCAACATCATTTCCTTTTGAAGTTGGCAAATCACAAATAACTACTTTTGCTCCTTGTTTAACCAATCTCTCAGCAGTTGCTTTTCCGAGTCCAGAACCACCTCCCGTAATAAGAACCACAAGATTCTAGGATTAAAAAAATATGTATGAGATAAATGTAATTTTAAAAAATATATACATCAGAGAAAATCATTAAGAATTATTTTAAAATTTTATTGATTAAATGCAATTATAAACAAATGCAATAATTATTTCTAAAGATCTGAAAGTCTATTTTTTAAATTTTATAAATTGATTAAATTATAAATTTAAGTTTTATAGACTAGTAAAAAATGTTAACCTTTCTGCTAAATTACTGGTTTTTTTGGTATTATTTACTGTACTTGCATCCAGTTTTTTCAGTATAAGTTTTAGAAATTGTTTTTAACCGTAGCGTGCACAAGTATTTAAGTTTATAAATTTTCATAAGCTGGGCCTTCTAGCTCTAATGTAATTTCTATGCTAATGTTGCTTTTTTTAACCAAAAATTAAAGTAAATTTCTCTCAAATTTTTTATCATCAATTTCAGACAGTTTAATGAACAGAATACTGATTTTTGGTCACAATTTTGAATACATTACTGGTCTCAATTATATATTAGAACTTTTTAATTTGCATTTAAAGTTGATAGCTTTTGCAATTTATTATTTATTTTGCATGTTACAAAATTTTATTTATTTATTATAAATTTTGTTTATAAATTTTTCCATTTTCCTATCTTTGTTTGAAGGGCAAATGAAACATCTTTTCAGTTTTTTTTTGCTTCTACCACAGTTGTTCATCTACGGCAACTGACATCCAGTACTATATCATTGCTTCTACAGTTAGTTGACTTGCAGAAATTTCTGACTGTATTATATTTTCTTCTCATGTTGATTTGTATCAATTCCTTGCATAAATTTTTTGAGAACAGCTGTCTTTTGTCACATCTGTTTGCATTGTATGTATGATTCACCAATGTGTACAATACATATACATTGAGTGCTACAATGTCAAGAACATTGTAGAATACAACCATAGACCAACCTTTTGTTTGTCTTTTGCATGTATACTGCTTTTGCTGTTTGTCAATTCATCATAGTATCAACACCTTCTTTGGTTTAATTGTAAAATATTGTAATTTCAGATTTATTTTTCTTGTCCAGTTAAAAAATTGCATCTTGAAGCATTGTGCTTAGCAAAATTACTGATTTTTCTTTTTTATCTTTTTAGCTCACCATTGTGCATCTATTTCTGAACCATTTTCCAATAATTCCACTTTTGGATTTTCTTCTTGAATATTCTGGTTGTTCAAGTTGATCATCTTCATTATCATTGGATCCTTCTGCAATTCTATATCAATTGTTTCTATATATACTATATATATATAAAATCCCTTTTGATTTACAATTTTTCTATTATTTAACAACAGGTCACTAGGGGTCACAAACTTTTTGTTTCAGATGGATCAATCTGCGAGATTGGATCAATGTTTGTCATGTGATACAGATCACTTTTGTCATATGTTTTAGGTGACAGAAAGTATACAAGTAAGATCAAATCATATTTATTCTATGAATGAAATTGCTCACAAAATGGCAAAATGGGAGAGTACACACCATGCATTCTTGCCATAATCTCGCAAAATTGTCTCTTAATATTTACTTTTCCATCTCAGTTTATTGGATATTTTAATAACGATGTTTTTCTTACCATTTATAAAGTTTTATTTAATGATAAGTTTTAAATAATTTTCATTTCGACAGTTAAACGTATTTTTTTTTTCCTCTCAACTATAATCTTGGCATTACAGAGGTCGCCATCCTTAATCTTTTTTATCCTCCCACCCTCCACTCAGATTAGTTTGATCATGATTCAGTCGATCCTAGATGGCATTTGTATACAGATTGATCAGATTGCTATAGTTCATTTGTAAAGATGATTTGAACAATCAGAGTAATCTTGGATCAATTTGAAGTACATGCACCCCAGGAAAGGGAAAAAGTAGTAGCCCAAAAGCAGAGAGCAGTTGCCATGATTTGCCTAGTTTCTTTATAAAGATTCAATTTCAATTATAATATTATTTAATAATACAATAGCATAAAAAATTAATATAATTATAAATACCTATATTAATTATTCATAATATAAATTATAATTAAAATATAATATATATCAAAATTTCAGGTTATCAAAACACAATTTTTCATGATTTATATATGAGAAATTCATATCGATTGAACTTAGTTCTGTAGATAAAGCGTGTTCAGATTTTTTCATTAACTTATATTTTGTCTGGGTTTTAGAAATACAAAATCTAAACAAAATACTCAGATTCTAACGATAAACGTTAGAATCTGAGTATTTTAGTAATATTAAATGAAAATACTATTATTTAATTAATATTACTTTAATACGATTAATCGACGGTGTATAATGCATTTCCAATACTAGAAGGACTTCTCTACTAAATTAGTATTATATTTAAATTAATTTTATAACGAAAATGAATTATTTTTGTGGGAATGTGTTTACCTTAACCGAACGAATTGTACTCATGATTGCTCAACGTTTAGCTTCTGTTTTAATTACTTACAAATTCAAAAAATTTAATTATTTAGCTATAAACTCAACAATTACCAAATTATTTTTCTCCAGATATTTTCTTTACCTGAATTACTTTAGAGAAATCTTCTAAACTATGTGGAATGTCTCGTTTATAATCATATGTTTTAAGAGCCACTCCAATACCAGCACAGTTTATAGCAGCATCCAATTTACCAAATTTTTCTTCTGTGGTATTCAAGGCATTCTTCACATCTGTTTCTGATGTCACCTAATAAATTAAATTAATATAATCAATAAAAATTATAAGTGAAATTTAATCACCAACTGTTAATTAAAGAATACATTTGTTGGTGTAAAAACACAATTTGTTCCTAAATCTTTTGCAACATCATTTCCTTTTGAAGTTGGCAAATCACAAATAACTACTTTTGCTCCTTGTTTAACCAATCTCTCAGCAGTTGCTTTTCCGAGTCCAGAACCACCTCCCGTAATAAGAACCACAAGATTCTAGGATTAAAAAAATATGTATGAGATAAATGTAATTTTAAAAAATATATACATCAGAGAAAATCATTAAGAATTATTTTAAAATTTTATTGATTAAATGCAATTATAAACAAATGCAATAATTATTTCTAAAGATCTGAAAGTCTATTTTTTAAATTTTATAAATTGATTAAATTATAAATTTAAGTTTTATAGACTAGTAAAAAATGTTAACCTTTCTGCTAAATTACTGGTTTTTTTGGTATTATTTACTGTACTTGCATCCAGTTTTTTCAGTATAAGTTTTAGAAATTGTTTTTAACCGTAGCGTGCACAAGTATTTAAGTTTATAAATTTTCATAAGCTGGGCCTTCTAGCTCTAATGTAATTTCTATGCTAATGTTGCTTTTTTTAACCAAAAATTAAAGTAAATTTCTCTCAAATTTTTTATCATCAATTTCAGACAGTTTAATGAACAGAATACTGATTTTTGGTCACAATTTTGAATACATTACTGGTCTCAATTATATATTAGAACTTTTTAATTTGCATTTAAAGTTGATAGCTTTTGCAATTTATTATTTATTTTGCATGTTACAAAATTTTATTTATTTATTATAAATTTTGTTTATAAATTTTTCCATTTTCCTATCTTTGTTTGAAGGGCAAATGAAACATCTTTTCAGTTTTTTTTTGCTTCTACCACAGTTGTTCATCTACGGCAACTGACATCCAGTACTATATCATTGCTTCTACAGTTAGTTGACTTGCAGAAATTTCTGACTGTATTATATTTTCTTCTCATGTTGATTTGTATCAATTCCTTGCATAAATTTTTTGAGAACAGCTGTCTTTTGTCACATCTGTTTGCATTGTATGTATGATTCACCAATGTGTACAATACATATACATTGAGTGCTACAATGTCAAGAACATTGTAGAATACAACCATAGACCAACCTTTTGTTTGTCTTTTGCATGTATACTGCTTTTGCTGTTTGTCAATTCATCATAGTATCAACACCTTCTTTGGTTTAATTGTAAAATATTGTAATTTCAGATTTATTTTTCTTGTCCAGTTAAAAAATTGCATCTTGAAGCATTGTGCTTAGCAAAATTACTGATTTTTCTTTTTTATCTTTTTAGCTCACCATTGTGCATCTATTTCTGAACCATTTTCCAATAATTCCACTTTTGGATTTTCTTCTTGAATATTCTGGTTGTTCAAGTTGATCATCTTCATTATCATTGGATCCTTCTGCAATTCTATATCAATTGTTTCTATATATACTATATATATATAAAATCCCTTTTGATTTACAATTTTTCTATTATTTAACAACAGGTCACTAGGGGTCACAAACTTTTTGTTTCAGATGGATCAATCTGCGAGATTGGATCAATGTTTGTCATGTGATACAGATCACTTTTGTCATATGTTTTAGGTGACAGAAAGTATACAAGTAAGATCAAATCATATTTATTCTATGAATGAAATTGCTCACAAAATGGCAAAATGGGAGAGTACACACCATGCATTCTTGCCATAATCTCGCAAAATTGTCTCTTAATATTTACTTTTCCATCTCAGTTTATTGGATATTTTAATAACGATGTTTTTCTTACCATTTATAAAGTTTTATTTAATGATAAGTTTTAAATAATTTTCATTTCGACAGTTAAACGTATTTTTTTTTTCCTCTCAACTATAATCTTGGCATTACAGAGGTCGCCATCCTTAATCTTTTTTATCCTCCCACCCTCCACTCAGATTAGTTTGATCATGATTCAGTCGATCCTAGATGGCATTTGTATACAGATTGATCAGATTGCTATAGTTCATTTGTAAAGATGATTTGAACAATCAGAGTAATCTTGGATCAATTTGAAGTACATGCACCCCAGGAAAGGGAAAAAGTAGTAGCCCAAAAGCAGAGAGCAGTTGCCATGATTTGCCTAGTTTCTTTATAAAGATTCAATTTCAATTATAATATTATTTAATAATACAATAGCATAAAAAATTAATATAATTATAAATACCTATATTAATTATTCATAATATAAATTATAATTAAAATATAATATATATCAAAATTTCAGGTTATCAAAACACAATTTTTCATGATTTATATATGAGAAATTCATATCGATTGAACTTAGTTCTGTAGATAAAGCGTGTTCAGATTTTTTCATTAACTTATATTTTGTCTGGGTTTTAGAAATACAAAATCTAAACAAAATACTCAGATTCTAACGATAAACGTTAGAATCTGAGTATTTTAGTAATATTAAATGAAAATACTATTATTTAATTAATATTACTTTAATACGATTAATCGACGGTGTATAATGCATTTCCAATACTAGAAGGACTTCTCTACTAAATTAGTATTATATTTAAATTAATTTTATAACGAAAATGAATTATTTTTGTGGGAATGTGTTTACCTTAACCGAACGAATTGTACTCATGATTGCTCAACGTTTAGCTTCTGCACTATCACACAAGACTATGGGTACGTTCGTTAAGTCGAACGAGTTAAACGCGTTAGTAACGAATCGTTCGAAAAGTAGTAGTCTCGCTCAGTGCGCATGCTCTGCGGTGATGACGTTTCGAACGAAACTCTAACGAAGTTCACGAAGGAAAGAGTTAGTTCACTTCGTTAAGAAAATGGCGGCCGACGAAATCGATGTTTCTAAATCTACTCGAGTGTTTAAATTGTGAATTAAAAGATGAAATGATTGAAATAACTGTCCACCCGAAGAAATTTAAGAAAAATATTTCGGATAAGGCTGCACTAACAACATTCATATCTTCGATTTTAGAAACAGCCATTTAGTTATAAACGAATCGTTCGAAAAGTCTAACTAAATAAGAATAACGATGACGTCATTCTCGTTTAACTCGTTCGACTTTACGAACGTACCCTATCACACGTGAACGTGGTTGCTAAATCTTTTCGAGAAATTCCGCGAGATGGCGTTCGAAAATCTGACATTTTTGAGACAAATTCGCTAGATATTTAACTGCTTTCGTTTTTTTAGCCTTAGTATTATCATTGTATTGCTAATATGGAGTGGAGGATTTGAGATTGAAAACGACCCGCTCTGAGGGACCTCGTGTTCCCAGAATGGTAGGCTGTCACCTCAATCGCTCGGCCATTCGGTCGTCATAACTTGCTATTTGAATACTTTTGCTTTAGTGACATATTTACAAACGACGTACCAGCTTTGAATTTATTAAAACCTAAGTGGATATCACGTGCGGAGTCCGTCAGACTGTCGAAATGTCATTTCGTGACGTTTTACGCTCTTAAAGATTTAGCTCAAATTCCATATGAAATCAGAAAACTTACACAAAAGCATAATCGTCTAAAAGAAAAATATTATCTTTTCATTTTATTGTTTATCTAAAAATTATGTTTGTTGAGTTATGGCAATGCAACACTTGAGCGATCTGCCTAGGGAGATGCCTTCCGGGAGGTCTTTTTAAGGAAATCTGACTCCTATTTAGGCGTTACAGACGTGGAAAAACTCGGAAAACTCCACGTGGCCAGCCAGTACGAGCGATGCGCGAACCCACGTGTTCAGGGTACGAAGACCGCTTGGCATTTGCGGGCCCTAAAATTATGAAAATGATTCTACCTAATTTTAAAATAATTTTTATTACGTGTGGCCATGGCCGAGTATATCCACGCATACTGAAATTTAAAATAAATACAGTTGTCCCTTGATAATCCGACAGGTATGGGACCAAAGGTGTGTCAGATTACCGAAAATAATTACATATTTCGCATTGTTTTGCTAGCAGTAACTTACAATATTCTCTACTCCAACTGTTCGAACAGAACTGCTCACATAAAACACACGAAATGTGTGTCATCGAGTAAGAATTGGATGGGGAGATTCACATCGCGACATGCTTCTGTGCAAGCAGACACGTAACGGGGACGGGTACCTTGACGGGAGTTGCGTCGGACTACTGAGCATGTCGGATTAAAAAACGTCGGACTATAGAGGGACAACTGTACAGTAATAAATCCTTTACTTTCAAGTATGTAACGGGCACTTTTTTTAAACTCTTTCCGCCCTGTGGGCACTAAGAGGACCTCTTTTTTGCAAGCCCATTATGGGTTCGGCCAGGCCCACAATGGGGTAGCCGGATAGGGCCCGACATATCTGAACGGACCACCCCACGAAAAATTCCTGGGGTTTTTTCGACCCGTTCGGATTCGAGCCCTGGGTCTCCCAGAGCGGTTGACTGCCACCTTGACCGCTCGGCCATCCGGCCGCTAATGTCACGGGCACTGATCGACTAATGGTCCACAAGTGTCCGAGTGGATAAAACCGCTTTTCTTCTTTAATTAATACTGTAATTATTTTGAAATGCGTAAAGCCGTTTTTAAATGCAATTAGTATAAAGTTGAAACAGAGTTAGTTATGATTGATGTTGACAATTTTATAACAAGTATTAGAAGAGTTAAGTTATGTAAATGATTTTTTTATGATTCTGGATAGTAATAAATCTAAAGAAAAAAAAATTCTTAATTAAGCAAATTCATGCAAAGAGAATATACAACTTAAATTCGATTTCGAAACAGAAAATACAGAAAGTTGAATTACTCATACTTTACTACATAACTCAATCAGACAATTTCGTTTACACAAGATATAAAAAACATGTAACAGGTAAAAACAATTAATTATAAATCTTTTTACGCATTAACTACTAAGAAAACCGCATATAGAATAAAATTACGAAAGAATTATACTGTACTAGAATTACGTTTGAAAAAGACAGGATTCAAAAACTTATAAAACTAAGATATAATTATTTGCTATCCGTATAAATTGCTTTCAAAAATGAAAAATACGATATGATATTTATAGATATAATGTTCGGAAACAGAAAAACAAATAAAATAGTATGCATTCCAATATATTATTGATAGAAAAATGTTTCAAACGTGTGCTAAAGATTATGTTAGTTTAATTAATGAAAAATAAGTGAAGTACAGTCGACCCCCCTATAACGCGGGTTCATATAATGCAGATTCGTATATCGCGGTCAAAAAATTGCAACCGTATTCGTATAAAGACGCTAAAAAAGACTCGTAAAATGCGGTAAAACGTCATCGCCGACTCGTGTCACGACAGGATTGGTCGAATCTGGATCAATAGTGGACGAGCAGCCACACGCTACAGAGAGTTTAGGCGGATAAGTTGAGTTTACTATCGTCTGTACAGTATATAAATTAGGTACTGTAGGTCTAATACAGTACTGTAATTTTATACATTTCTTGTGAAAAAGACATTTCTTATTCAACGGCCATAAAAATTATTTCTATTAATGTCTCCAAAGTTCAACGAATTCTTCGCAGAAAAATAACTTATCAGAAAACGCGCCCGCCGTTTGGTGCGCTACTCCGCGACGAAAACAAGCTTAAGCAATGGCGTCGTCGAACAGTGCACACTCGGTAAGTAATCCTACAATTTTTTGTTTCTAGTATAGTTTATACGGATTATTCCCAAAAAATTATACGTGTTTTGGAAATGTTGAGTCAAATTAGTCTAGAATCGATTAACTTTATGGAAGAAAACTTTTTAAACAGCCGTAGTCCGCAACCTGCACACATGTCGGGCTGTAATTGGCTCATGTGTTTAAGGATTCCTACAACGCGAAATTCTTTTAAAGTGGACGTATCTACCGCGTTACAGGAGGGTTGACTGTACAGTAATATGTGTGAATATAAAAATATAAAAATATTTGTAAGGAAAACATTGATAACTTTCAGAAGGCAGGAGTTATATTTCATCAGTGTTAAATATCGGAAAAATATATATATAAGAAAGGAAAAGTAAAACTGAAAAAACAGTTAAAGAATACTTGGAGGCATTATATCGCTTCACCATAGTAGAAACAGGTAAAACACCTAAGTTAAAGAACAAGGAATTCTCTGCATTGCAGACAGACATCAAAAAAGCAAAGGGCTCGTCCGGGAATTGAACCCGGGACCTCTCGCACCCGAAGCGAGAATCATACCGCTAGACCAACGAGCCATCCGTTTTTAACGCAATTATTCGCGACTCACATATCGTGCGATTTCTTCTTATGCTTGTACTTAATTTACGAGTAATCGTTCGTCGATTTCTCAGCGACTCTCCTAATTTCATTCTAACACATTTAGTTAATGGCACACAAAAAACATTCGTATTTGCTAACATCATATTACGGCAAATCCATAAGGTCTGCCGTAGGGGACATTCTTCTCATTGCACACGTTTCACCGTTCCAGTAAATTATTTTCTATCTCGTCCCTCGCAGTTGAATCCTGCACACTCCAGGCCTCTTTATCGAATCGGTACTTTTCGCATTTTGTCATGCAGTTTCATGATTTTTACAGAACAGGATCACTCTATCACCTTGTAGCTGGTCGCGATGGACTTTGCCCACGCATCGCTTTCGTCTTATTTTACAGCAGCAAATCTGAATGGTCTGTCAGCTCAGCCTCACCTAGCACCAACTGTAAAACTTGCCGTTCGGACACACAGTTCTTCTCGGCTGGCTCGCAAAACAATGCACAAAAGTTTCAACAAAACAGTGTGTACATTCCTAACAATAACTCTATACTCTAGGAGAGTTTTAGATGTTGACAGAAATTTATTTCACTTTGTTACAAACAAGCAGAGAAAATTTCTCGTTTAAGCGAACTAGCATCTTTATTTCAGCTACTCGGCACCGACGACCACTCTCGCAAGCTTTACTACCGAAAGAAAAAAAAAACACGGTTTTGTTCAGTAACGCAGAATTCTTGTTAAGTCTAGTTATGCTGCGATGTTGAACTCGCTTCTAGCTACTGCTTGACTCCTCCCACCGCTATAATTCTAGCTAGTTCGGTCAGCTTCTTTTATCTATGCTAACATTTACTAGTAACTTCATTGTTTTTGTCTCGTCGTAAGATTTGCAAGATGGCTGCTCGTGTTAGACCAAACGTATCTTATTATAACTATCACAGTTATTCTCTCATTCTAAATCATTAACTAATTCTAAAATGACTTGTAAAATTGTAAAATTATCATACGTCGATATAACAGATTCCGAATATATTTTAACGAAAAATAACGATCCATTTCATTGATTACAATTAATAATTGCTCCATTAATTTCATCACGATCTGACGCAGCTTCCATCCGAATAATTGTATTGGTTACTTCATCTATTCCACCAGTTCGTTTGCGACAATTGTTGCCAGAGCCGGCCCTACCATAGGGCGAAAGGAGCAGCCGCTCCAGGCGCTAAGTCCTAGGGGGCGCCTCAGTGGTAAAGAAAATTAAAGGGTATAAATTTAGGGCAACCAAGGGCAGTGGCATAGCGAGGGGGTGTATCAAGCACCGGGCGCCACTCGCAGAGGGGCGCCCAAATGGTCTCCAAGACAAACTATATGTGTTTCTGGAGGGGGCGCCAATAAAGTGTCGTGCCTGAGCGCCAGTTATGTTCGCTACGCTACTGACCAAGGGGCGCCATAATAGGATCTCGCTCCATCCTAAAACTTGCCTCGGGCCGGCACTGATTGTTGCAATCATAATTTTAACTTCGTCCACC